GTGATATAAACCATGTATGACATTGGGGTATTTATATTACTTCATGTACTTCTCATTATATTTCTGAATTATGTATTGATATTTCAGTTGCATAGATGAGGAAAATGAGGCTTAAAAACTTAAGCAATTAGCTCATGATTCACCCCTGGTCAGTTTATTTTACAACCCTCAACATTTCTGCCTCTTTCTGTGTTGCCACTGTTCTTACCACTTACACAAAAGTTGCCTAATATTTCTTTCCTCTCATCAATTATGATTTCACTTCTTTAATAGAAGTCTTCCTTACTATCTGTATGAACAAGAAATATTGTTTTTATGACACTACTTCTTTCTCACCTGAATGGACCTACAATCCCCAATACCTCTGCCAATAGTAGTGATTATAACAACATGTTCCCATTCAGGATGGAAGCTTAAGAGCTGTTTTAGATTAAACACTTATGATAATCTAGGAAAAAAAAAAAAAGCAAGTATCTTGACTTAAAAAAATTATATTTTTTTCTAAAACTAAAGGCAAACTATTTCAAAATGAATGCTGTTGTTGTTAGATTCTGTTGAGTCAGTTCCGACTTATAGTGACCCCATGTACAAGAGAAAGAAACATTCCCTGGTTCTGTGCCATCTTCAAAATCTTTGTTATACTTGAGTCCAGTGATGCAACTACTGTATCAGTCCATCTCATTGAGGGTCTTCCTCTCTTTCACTGACCCTCTACTTTACCAAGCATGTTGTCCTTCTCCAGGGACTGGTCTTTACTTATAACATGTCCAAAGAATGTGAGACGAAGTCTCCTCATCTTCCCTTTTAAGGACCATTGTGGCTGTACATCTTCTAAGACAGATTTGTTCATTCTTCTGGAAGTCTATGGCATATTGAATATTCTCCACCAACACCATAATTCAAAGGTGTCTATTCTTCTTCAGTCTTCCTTATTTGATGTCCATCTTTCCCATGCATATGACATGATTGAAAATGGCTTGGGTCAGGAGTACCTTTGTCGTCAAGGTGACAACTTTGCTTTTTAACACTTTAAAGAAGTATTTTGAAGCAGACTTGCCCAATGCAATACTTAGGATCAGAGAATTGCCCAAGTATGTTTGGGTGATCTGATAACCTCTCAACTTAAATTTTCGTTGTTGCTGATGAAGATTCAAAATATTTCTTCTCATTCCTCTCCTCCATGACACCCATGCTCCCCAACCCATATCCCATTTGACTCTCAATTAAGTATGCGATGCAGCACTAGACTGAGGGAGATCGGGACATCAGGCTTCTAGTATCCACAGAGTGTTATTTTCTGATCCTGAGAAATTACTTAGATCTTCTTGATCCCAATCTCTTTTTTTCTCTGTATTTTAACAGCTTTATTGGTAATTAATTCACTTGTCATACAATTCTCCTATTTAAAGTGTAGAGTCCACTGATTTTTAGTATATTCATAAATATGTGCAGACATCATCACAGTCAATTCTAGAGCATTTTAATCACCACAAAAAAAGCCCTTACATTTTAGCTACCACCACTCCCTTGAAGAACAGTTTAATGAAACATTTCCTACTTTTAAATTGTTCACCAGCCTACTGATATAATAACTTCCTTTAAATCAATTTCTTTTGCTAAACAAATATATTTGAAAAATCATCATTATACTATCTCAAAGACTAAGAATTTGCATTAGTTTAAAGCAGGAAAAAGTAAGTCAACAGACCCCGCCAAAAATGTGTTGTCACTGAGTTGGTTCTGACTTATAATGACACTATAGGACTGAATAGAATTGTCTCACTGGGTTTCCAGGGCTGTAAATATTTACAGAAGCAGACTGCCATATCTTTCTCCCAGAGAAGATGGGTTTGAACTACTGACATTTCGGTTAGCAGCCGAGTGCTTAACCTCTGTGCTGCCAGGGCTTGCTAAACAACCACCCCAAAATATTAATATCTATTTGACCCATAGTTGTCCAGTCGATTCCGATTCATAGCGACCCTACAGGACAGAGTAGAACTGCCCCACAGGGTTTCCAAGGAGCATCTGGTGGATTCAAACTGACAACATTTTGGTTAGCAGTAGCGGCTCTTAACCACTATGTCATTAGTTACTGTTACATACTGAACATTCTGAGCCTGATAATTATTTTTCCTTGTTAAAAAATGAAGGTTAGGAAAGCTTATATCGATAGTAAAGTACTGGTGGGAACAAACTGAGAATTTCTTTGATAAAATTGAAGTTTTGTATATTCATAAAAAACAGAATTGGTTTCTCATAGTAAAATGTCATACATGTTATCTTTTTGCTATCTAAAATTTCAAAGACCGTAAATAATACAGATTTTGGACTTATGTATCACTTGATTTGATGGTTTCTGAATAAGCTTGCTATAAAAGCATCATGTGTTTTAAAAAATAAACAACTGGAAAAGCCACCATGGCTGCCGCACTGGATCCAGTCTAAGGTAGAAGGTGTGCTATAGTTTTTGCAGCTCCACTGGGTGCCTTATCATTCCTCATAACTGGGTAAAATAGCCCTTGGAAGTGCATTGTTTCTATTCTGCCTTCTCTTTTCCCCTGTGTTATTGTCACAAGATTAATCAAAAGACATATGTGATTCACAAATTTTTCATCCATTTATTCATGCAACAAATAGCTTAACTAACCACTAAGTTTGTTTTATTTGCATTTGTTATAATTTTCTTTTATAGACATCTGATGTCTAGAACATATATAAAAGGATTAAATTTGTATAAGAAGCTATAAAATATAAACAATTCAAACATACTTGGGCAATTCAATCATTTTATCTTTTCTTTGCCTGCACAAACTTGAATGACTATATTTTGTTTTTCCCTGTGAAATGTAAATAAAAGAAGTGAATGAATTTGCAGTTACATTTTGCAACTTCAATCTTTAATTGAAATTTCTTCTTTTGCTGTTTGGTTTTAATGTAATCAAACCTGCAGAGGTTTAGCATAACTCATTGGCAATGTTTACTCACGCAGCAGAGAAGAATACACTGTCCACATACTAAAGTTCAGCATTTTAAGCTGAGATTTTTAAAACATATTTGAATTTTCTTATCATACATTCAAAAATAATTCAAAGGAGATAGTCCATGTCATGCTGGAAGAAAGAAAGTTGAATCTATGGATAAGGTACACATAAAAATATGGGAAAAGAACTTTTTTTTGTAATAAGTAAATTAAACAAACAGATAGAACACTACAAGTGCTCACTTGTCTATGCAAGATAATTGGAAGAGAGCTACTTGGCCAACCAACCGGAAGAGATCCATATCTGCATCCTTTTTAATGAAAGATTATCCAACAATGTAGAAGTTATTGAACAATATTACTAATGTCACACACAAGTAAAATTTTCTGGAGATAATTCAAAACAGTTGCAGCAGTACATAAACAGGGAACTGCCAGAATTTCAAGCCAGATTCAGACATGGATATGGAAAGAGGGACATCATTGCTGATGTCAGATGGATCTTGGTTGAAAGCAAAGAATACCAGAAAGATGTCTACCTGTATTTTACTGACTATGCAAAAGCATTTTACTGTGTAAATCATAACAAATTATGGATAACATCATGAAGAATTGGAATTACAAAACACCTAATTGTGCTCACGTAGAACCTGTACATAGAACAGGAGGCAGTTATTCAAACAGAACAAGGAGATACTACATGGTTTAAAATCAGGAAAGCTGTGTGTCAGGGTTGTATCCTTCACAATATTTAAATACTTATGAATTTGTATGCTGAGGAAATAATCCGAGATGATGGACTACATGAAGAGGAACTGGGCATCAGGATTGGAGGAAGACTCATTAACAAACTGTGATATACAGATGACACAACCTTGCTTACTGAAAGCAAAGAGGACTTGAAGCGCGTACTGATGAATATCAAAGATTACAGCCTTCAGTGTGGATTACACCTTGACATACTAAAATAAAAATCCTCAAACTGGAACAATAAGCAACATTTTGATAAACGGAGAAACTACTGAAGCTGTCAAGGATTTCATTTTACTTGGATACACAATCAACACTCATGAAAGAATCAAACTACATATTCCATTGGGGGAATCTGCTGCAAAAAACTGCCATGAGAAAAGTTTGGTGTCAAGGTTGTTAAAAAGCAAAGATGTCACCTTGAGCTCTAAGGTGTACCCGACTCAAGCCATGGTAGTTTCAGTCGCCTCATAGGCATGCGAAATCTGGATAATGAATAAGAAAGACTGAAGAAGAATTGATACCTTTAAATTAGAGTGTGGTCGAGGAATATTGAATAGATCATGGACTTCCAGAAGAAGGAACAAATCTGTCTTGGAAGAAGCATAGCCAGAATGCTCCTTGAAAGGGAGAATGGCAAACCTTCGTCTCACATTCTTTGGACATGTAATCAGGAGAGACCAGTCCCTGAAGAAGGATTTCATGCTTGGAAAAGTGGAGGGTCAAGGAAAAAGAGGAAGACCCTCAACAAGATGGATTGACACAGTGGCTGAAACAATTGGCTCAAACATAGCAACATTTGTGAGGATGGTGCAGGACCAGAGAGTATTCTCTTCTGTTGTACACAGGGTCACTATATGAATCAACTAGACGGCATCTAAGAGCAACAACAATAGGAACAGATTAAACCTTTGTTTTTATGAAATTACATACGTAGTGGCAAACAATGTTTTCTTCATGATCAATGTAGCATTTAAAATATCCTTTAAAGTTTACTGGTAAAATTGAATAAAGTACATTCTTAATACCATCATTTCCTTTATAAAATTATTTCACAATACATTTGTAAAATAAGAGACATAACATAAAAGAAAAAGCAGCTTAATTTCATAAATAAAGAATAATTAATATTAATAGCATTGCATATTAATCCAGTTTTGGTATATTGTATATTATTATAATTATACTGCTGATTTTTCATCTAAATTTGTGTTTTCTTTATTTTTAGATACACATTTGTTTTTTAACATACACCAAAGTGGCATACATGGAAAGCCAGAGAAATGTCTCAGAATTCATTCTTTTGGGACTTTCTTCTGACAAAAACATACAAATATTTTGCTTTGTTCTATTCTTATTCTGTTATATTTCCCTCTTGGTTGGAAACCTTCTGATCCTTGTTTCCATTCTAAGCAGCATCTTTTTTCACCAACCAATGTACTATTTCCTTAGCCACTTAGCCTCTCTGGACATCTGTTATACTTCTAGTGTCACACCCAAACTGATTGGTGATCTCTTACTGGGGACAAAATCCATCTCCTTTGGTAATTGCATGTTACAGGTATTTACCATACACTTCTTTGGCAGTATTGAGATCTTCATTCTTACTGCCATGGCCTTGGACCGCTATGTTGCTATCTGCAAACCTCTCCACTACATGATAATCATGAACAGAACAAGATGTAATCTTCTTGTCTTAGCTGCTTGGGTTGGTGGGGCAGCCCATTCCCTTCCTCAATTATTTATGGCAATCCTGTTACCCTTTTGTGGTCCTAATGAAATTGATCACTATTTTTGTGATATCTTCCCTTTGCTAAAAGTTGCCTGTACTGATACCCACAACACTGGTATTCTTGTGCTTGTCAATTCAGGTATGCTTGTCTTAGCAACGTTTGTTCTCTTGTTTGGGTCTTATGTCATTATATTATCTAGTTTAAGAAATCACTCAGCTGAGGGAAGACGCAAAGCCTTGTCTACCTGTGGCTCCCATATCACTGTGGTAGTCTTATGTTTTGCTCCTGCAATCTTTGTCTACCTTAGACCTCCTACCACTTTCCCTGAGGATAAAATATTTGCACTATTTTATACCATCATTGCCCCTATGTTCAATCCCTTAACCTATACCCTGAGAAATACAGAGATGAAAAACGCCATGAGAAAAGTTTGGTGTCAAGGTTATTTTCAAAAGAAGCTCACAATTAATTGGTGAAGCCTGTCAGTTAAACAACTTTGTAAAATAAAGTGACTGATTGTGAAATCTAATGTTACAGACTTCTCATACTTTATGTATTCCATTTTAATCATAAATGTGTTAAATATGAGAAATAGGAATCAAAAGTTAATGTGATTACTAATTAAATACTAATCTACCATACAAAAAATCATTGGAAACATGGTTAATTTTGTGGGATGTTGTTATGGATTGAATTGTGTCTCCCCAAAATGTATCAACTTGTCAATGCCATGATTCCAAGTATTGTGTCGTTGTCCTCCATTTTATGATCTGATTTAATTTTCCTATGTATTGTAAATCCTAAATTTTGCCTGTGGTAAATTAAGCAAGATTAGGCTATGTTAAAGATGATTAGCGTGGGATGCAACATCCTTACTCAGGTCACAGATCTGATCTGATGTAGTGGGAGTTTCCCTGGGGTGTGGCCTACATCACCTTTTAAAGAGATAAAAGGAAAGAAGCAAGAAGAGGGTGAGGGACCTCCTACCACCAGGAAAGAAGAGCCAGGAGCAGAGCACAGAATTTGGACCTGGGATCCCTGCACTGAGAAACTCCTAGACCCAGTGGAAGATTGATGACAAGGACCTTTCCCCACAGCCAATAGAGAGAGAGAGCCTCCCCTGGAGCTGCCATCCTGAATTTGGACTTCTATACTCCTAAATGAATAGAGAATAAATTTCTGTTTGTTAAAGCCATCCACTTATGGTATTTATCTTATATCAACACTAGATAACTAAGACGGGTGTGAAGATGGTGTAGAAAGAGTTCACTCTGTAAAATGTAATCTGGGTTGTACCAATTAAGATGATGCTATATTGAGCAAAGAATTACAATGCTAGCATTTCTTAATGACAATTTTGTTTAAAAATTCAGATTCAAGGTCAAGACCACATGGTGACACATGTTTTGTGGTATTGGAGGAGATAAAATCTATAATTTATAAACTGATTTTTAATTTCTGTTAATGCATTATCTTATACATCCTCTACTGGCAATTTCAGTATAGTATAATATGGTTTAAAGTGGGTCTGGGTGTCAACTCTCATAACTTTCCAACAAAAAAAAATAATGATAATTAGGAAAGACAGAGTGAAATCAGTTACTCAGAATGCTGAAAACATACTCAATGTTATTCCACCTATTGGTCAGAATTTACAAAAATCTCCTTAAAACTTCAGGAACAGAATTTAAAATTAAAGTGTTTACCCACTTCTACCTGCCTAAGAGCGATAAAAAATGGCTAGTTACTGGATGCAGAACCAAAGACCTTTCCTACTGATATGAGAAAAAAATAGGAAAAATAAATTAGAAGTGTTCTAAAACCAAGCAATGAACCAATGAATCAATGAACCAACCAACCAACCATTCAGTCAACCAACCAACCAACCAATCAGAAGACAATTTAAGAAAAATCAAACCAGCGAACCAAACACTGTGGGGAGTGAATCATCTTAGAAGTATCATGAAAAAATATTTCTTTCTTTTTTTCATATATTAATTTATATATTTTATTATTGTACTTTAGATGAAGGTTTACAGAACAAACTGGCTTCTCATTAAACAATTAGTACACATATTGTTTTGTGGCATTGGTTACCAACCCCACGACATGTCAACACTCTACTCGTGTCGACCTTTAGTTCCCTATTAGCAGCTTTCCTGTCCCCTCCTACTTCCAGTCCTTGCCCCTGGGCTAGTGTGCCCCTTTAGTCTCATTTTCTTTTATGGACCTGTCTAATCTTTGGCTGAAAGGAGAACCTCAGGAGTGACTTCATTACTAAGCTAAAATGTTGTAGAGGGGCTGTACTCTTGGGGTTTCTCTAGTCTCTGCCAGGCCAGTAAGTCTGGTCTTTTTTTGTGAGTTAGAATTTTGTCCTTCATTATTCTCCAGCTCTGTCCAGACCCTCTACTATGATCCCTGTCAAAGCATTTTGACTTCCCATCAGCAGTGCATAAAAGGTCCAATCTCCCCACAGCCTCTCCAACATTGTTATTTTCTGTTTTTTGATTTGTGCCAGTAATGCCAGGGTGAGATGGTATCTTATTGTGGTTTTGATTTCAATTTCTCTAATGGATAGTGATCAGGAGCATTTCCTCATGTGCCTGTTAGCCACTTCAATGTCTCCTTTGGTGAAGTTTCTGTTCATTTCCTTTGCCCATTTTATAATTGGATTGTCTTTTTGTTGTAGAATTATTGGATTTTCCTGTAAATTTTAGAGACTAGATCTTTCTTGGATTTGTCATAACCAAATTTTTTTCCCCAGTCTGTAGGTTCTCTTTTTACTCTTTTGGTGAAGTCTTTTGATGAGCATAAGTGTTTAATTTTT